TTTGTATGACATAATAACTCATGGCACACGATATTCATTTAACACATAAATGAGTATATTTATAGTCATGTTACATCATTTTTACGTTAATCAAATAGATATGAGTAATTTACATTATTTCTTAAAAACACAATTTGTTTATTGTATTAAGTGTTGAACAGTGTCGCCGGTATCGAAATAAACAGTGTCACCGGCTTTATATTAATAGTGTGGACGACAAACGTACAAAAAAATAGTTATGGTCAATGGCATGCTTGTAATTAATATAAGTTATAAGGATAATTGTGGTATAATTTTTTGTTTCTCTTTCATAGTTTCTTAATTTTTAAAGTATGATTGTCATAAACCTAGTTTTTCAGTCAACCATTAATATACAACAAAGATAGTTCAACCAATTATAAATAATATTGTAGAATCGCACAATGTCTAAAAGGTTTAAAATTACTTTGAATTGTGAAAACATCTTACATTTTGAGAGAAAAAAAAATCCTCTAAAAAAAAGATATCAAACAAAATTTTTGAAGCATACATAACAAATTGTAAGAAGATGATTATATTAGATCCGACCTTGTATGTGTTGTTCCTTGCACTCTTGAAACCAAACCCTAAAAGACCATCAACGGATCACAGACGGTTTGATTCGTTTTGGATGTCATCTCGCAATTGGATTTATTTGTAGATGTGCTTCATCCGAGACAATGGAATACTCTTCACCGGGAGATAAACTTCCACTTGTTATATTACTGCTGAAACTGACATTCCTTATTGGGGTTGAATCTTGAAGCTCGATTTCTTCATCTTTTTTTGAAGTTTTGTTAAACTCTGCATCATTGTTTGTAGTTACATCTGAGTTTTTCTTCTGGAATTCCTCAGATGCATAAACTAATCTTAAGCCGCACTTGAGCACCTCGAGTCTATCTTTCTCATCTGTCACACCAAATTCAAGGGAAGATGCAGTTGGAGTACATGTACCTGAGTGCTGGTCTTCAACACATTTTATGTTGTTTGAGCATCTGGTGTAGCAAATAAAGACATGGTCTGATCCCATCTTGTCTAGCTCGTTGCCATGATTGTTCCATCGTCCAACCAAGCGATCGAAGGAGATATGTGATCCATCTTTACTTTCTAGGTTAAACTTGCATGTAACGGTAAAAGAGTTGATTTGTTCTTGGCAGTTTCGAAAGGAGACAACAACACATAAAGCTATCCCGACAAACTGATTTTCGTTCCAGTGTGGGGGAAGTTTGATCTTTAACTCAGATCCAACTGCTTGGTGACAAAACCATGAAGGTACTTCACACCCAGGAAAACAAGTGCTGAACAAAGCCTCTGGAACAAAGCCCTGCAAAAAGTAATACAAAAGTTACATTCATTCATTCATAAGTTTACTTGGAAAGCAAGAAATGAATGAGAGAGATAACCTCATTGCAGCGTTTTAGTGCACTCGATAGGAATTGGCATTTCCTTTGAGCATAAGTTGTGATTTTCTCTTTTTCATTTCGATCCAGTTTGTTGCAGTTGGTGAAAATGAATGTGGAATGAATCTGCTCCATTGGCATATGAGTAGTAAGTGGATCCGCGACTGTTTTCAGTGAGCCGCATCCGTGTGCATCTAAGCACAAAAGATTTGTTGGAAGCTCTGGAAGAGATAAAAGATTCTTACAGTACTTCAAGTCCAACCATTTCAGTTGATAAAGTTGACTCATGTCATCCAAACGGATGATGTTATCGTTTCCACTTAAGCATAAACGCTCAAGTGAGGCTATCTGAGGAATCTTTGTTATTGATGTCCCATCAAGCAGTAAAATCTGCAAGCGTTTCATGTTCTCCATTGAATCTGGGAGACAACTGAGGATTGAACAACCAGAGCATACTAGCTCTTGTAAATCTTTCAGCTGGTCAAATCCTTCAGGAAGCTTTTCCAGCTTGTTGCAGTCTTGCAGGTTTAATAAGACAAGCTTTACCATGGTTGTAGGAAGTTCGGTTATTGCGGTGCCATCCAAGTATAGAGCCTCTAAAGTCTCTGAAATCATAAAGAAACTCTTAAGGTTTGAGCATTTAGTGAGGACGAGTGTTTGTAGTGGTACCAATCCGATATCAGGAAAAGACTCGAGGGCCGTGCACCCTTTCAGATTTAGGAAAACAAGACTTCCCATGTTTTGCATATACGGAGCCAATGCTTTCAGAGCCGTGCAGCCTTCAAGGTTCAATCTTTGTAGATTTTCAGCTTTTGATAGCCCTGACAAGGTCTCTAACTTACTTGAGTGATTGAGATCAACCCATTTTAGTTTTGGAGCATCCTGCAACAACAAAAGATCCAAACACCCAAGTTAGTTGTTTAAGATATTAAACAAAAAAATGGTATCCAAAAGTGGAGATGACTCAAAACTAGTAAATAAATAACTAGGGTTATCACACGCAAATGCGCGTGGAGTTTATTTTAAAAATTTTTAGTAATTATTTTCTTCTACTAATATTGATGTGTATTGCACACTTCGTAATTTTATAGTTTTAGTTTTGCATTCATGGCCATTCAATATCATATCATAAAGTATCAAACATGAAGGCAAATGAAGATATATTATATTGATCACTTATTTGTTTGTGTACGTTTTTTTCGAATTTATTTCGTTTTTTCTATTTGTCTATGCAATTTTTTTACTGATCACGATTACACTTTATTTATCGATTAGACGAATACATTTTCGAATTAAATTATTTAGTGTACCGTAAAATTTTTTAGTTTCTAATTAATGAGAGTCATATATATAACCAATTAAATACTAACCAAACACGCATTTTTTTGCATCAAATACGTTTGTAATAAAAAATTATTGCATGATTGGTAGTCTTTTATTTTTCATCAAATACGTTTGTAATAAAAAAATGATTGATCAGACAAGTTGTAATATGTTTTATTTCTATCGAGAAATATGCATTATCTCAACAGAGATGTTGAAATGCGTCTTTATGTTTTATTTCGTTATAACCTTAAATTTTAAAGAAAGAATCATTGTTGTTTGATTTTTTTTTCTCACTCTTTTTATCATTTTCTGCGATTTTTATCCTTCACATCGATTCATTTGTGAATGATTATATTTTTCTGCATTCACAATTTGTGGAGAAATAAGGTTTCAATTCGAGAGTATTGGTTAGGAAATGATTACAACTTTAGCATTCTAACAATCTTAAAATTCCTAAAATCACTAATTAATTTTCTCACACCACTTTTTTTGGTTAATATTACGATTCTTTTTATTAAAACTTTTTGTGACTTTACTTTTCTGACTTCTTGTTTTAAAATTGTTGTTATCTATCTAAAGTTTTAAATATATTTATTGTATAGTATGTTACTGGGTTTAATAAATAAAATATATACTTTTCAAATCGTTAAAAATTTACAATAACACATTAATTTTAGAATTATAATTTTTGGTGGATATCAAATAAATAAATAAAAAACTGATATTGGTCATCTTTATGTTACAATTTCATTTTTGAAATTAACTTACATTAAACTTAGCTATTAAACTGTATGAATTAATTGTTAAAGTTATTAAAAACACTTATTTTTTC